CCCCAAAACCCCAAAACCCCAAAACCCCATTTCTTAACAAAATTATGGAATTAGGAGAGCATTTGTCTTACTAAACTTACTAAAACTTAGTAAATTTCTCAGGGCCAATATTGGCCTAACTCCCAAACACATATCTTTTATGTGCGTAGCTTTAGGAGTCTGGCTAGGTAAGGTATATAAAGACCTGAAGGTTTTATCACTGCAGGTGCTTAAGCCCGGTATTCTTCATGTCTTATATTCTGCCTATAGCGAGTCAGAATATAAAGCTTCACAAGATGTTCTACAACGAATTAAATTACCTCGTGCTTTTTGTAGTTTCATTGATCAAGAATGTGTTAGTTATTCCTTCAAATTGGATCTTACGAAAATGGATAGACTTTGGCTTGTCCTTCGTTATGCTCTTATTGCTAAAGTTAGTCCAGCCAAAGCTTACCTCTGTTGTATATTGTTCTTATATGCCTCTTGAGATTCAGATGCTAAACCTCGATTTACCTTATACCGACTAGCGCTATTAGAGACAGGGCTGAGTTTATTTAGCACTTTTGCTGCCTCAGATTTTGTACCTTTTAAGCTTAAGAGGTTCATCAGAATTTTCTTTCTTTGTCAGATTCTTAGAGTTTCTCATGCGTAATTTCTCCCAAATCTTTCTTCCTTTTGAAGCCCATAGCTTTTTCTGATGCATGATATGAGGGCTATACATCTGAAACTTCTGTTGTTGTTGAACTGGACCTGCAACTACTTTCTTACCATAAGCATTAAATCATGCTTTGGAAGAAACTTGTGGCTTGCTTTTCCTTATCTCAGTATTCTCACTTTTAACTCTTGGGACTATTTTGACTTCATTTCTCCTCAATTTGTCCAAACTTGATCGAGATTCCCTTTGGTCAGAATCCTGACTTGAAGGTTTGTAAAATTCAGCAGTTGAGTTCATCATTTCTTCAGATTCAGACCTTTCATTTTTCAAACAGTCTGCGCTAATAACTTTCTTGGCGATTTGAGAATGCTTAAGATAGCTTCTAGGGTTCCAGAGGTTTCTTTTGTTATGCAAAGATTCTACCTGCTTGATTGCATTTTGCACCCTCTTCTTCTTACTAAATCCTGGAATCTCAAGGGTCTTGGGACCCTTGATTTTCTGTAATGGTCGGGTCCTTCTCTGGACCTTGATTTTATGATACAAATTTAACTTCCTGTCTAGATCTGTAGCAGGATTAAAAATTGTCAGAATGAAATTACCTAAGTTTCGCTGATAAATACTTGGAGATTTTAAGTTTATTTTGACTTCGTTTAATGATTTTGAGGTAAAGAAATTCCCATTAATTGTCTCAATTGATTGCTCATTAACCTTCAGAGAAGAATCATTGTTAAATCCATCATTCTTCTCTCTACAGTAAGGATTTGATGGGTTAAGTAATTTATTCTGGATTGATAGTTTAGTCGAACGATTTATACCATCAGATTTTAGTCCTTCAGCGCTGGTGCTTACTTGTTTAAGCACTCCTGGAGCAAAACTTGATACTGGGTTTATACCCTTGTTTGCTGACAGAAATAGATGTGAAGGTGTTTTATCATTCGTGAAAACCTATACATTAATCTTAAATGAGCCTACGATTGGAGCTTTATAGATTCTACTGGAGTGATTTTGTCTCCCATAGCCTTTATTGGATATCAAAATAGCGTCTTCTTGGCTTCGTCACAGCATATTTTCTAAAGAATAAAGCAGGATAAATTACTTTTAATAGGAGAAGAATTGTAATTTCCTCTTGAGCTTTTAGAACTCCTGAGACCTTCATATTTTCTTCCAAGATCTTTACTCCGATATTGGTCTAAAACTAACACCATGGCTTACTGTTCTGAGAGGCAATTACTTTGTTTCTGATGTGAGGTGTATTTTTCAAAAATGAATAGTATGAATATTTACTGAAAGTATCGAACTTGTTTTGGAAGTTCCGACTCCTGATTGGCTTTAGCTCAACACTATCCATTTTTAAAGCCTGGCCGTAACTTCCTTTGTCAACAGGAGATTCATCACTTCTGTCAAAGAAATCAATCGGAAATTTGTTAGCTGAATGAATTGATTTCATTGCTTTAAAATTATTTTCAATAATTTATGCTAATATTGGGGTTTTGGGGTTTTGGGGTTTTGGGGTTTTGGGGTTTTGGGGTTTTGGGG